CGAATGTGTTACTGAAAACATTGAAAGAAATAAACAGAAGCTTCCGAAGATAAAGATGTTCCATCACACCTTTAAAAACTTGCTGAATCTATCTTACCACGTTTTGGATCTGCTTCCTGGTGATGACAATTCTTCTTAACTGTCATATATTGGTGATGACCTCTTGTAAGATTGTTAAAACTTTTGCAAATACACTAAAGACTGGAATCACAACATACTCTTCTCTTCATAGCTCTCCCACACAAATTAAACTTAATCTTCACACAAATAATTTCGTGTATAATTCCACAAGCACCATTACTGAACTAAACTTTTCCCCAAAATAGCAGATGCCTCAACTTCACTCATTTCTGGCACACATCTTTTCAAGAAAACTTTCTTTGTAACAAAGTTTCTACCCTTTCAGGAAACTTTGAATGGTACAGTCAGCAATCTCAACAATACTTTTGGCTCCCAATACCCGATTATCAGAATTTGCACTCGACCGACATCTCTAACTAGAGAGCGGGTTTTGCAATTCGTCATTGCAATTCCTTCTATATAAAATAAAAACATCGTTCATGTACTGCCAAGTCTCAGCAAGTCGACATCTTTACAAATATAAATATTTACTATACCAGACGACAAGAAAGAAATGTTCAAATTATTTATTCGTGGCACGTTAGCAGTAGTAATCAACAATCATTATTCGTTCTCTTCGCCAACACATAAAACACAGTGAACAAACAAGATACTAGTACACAGTTGAGGTTGATAAACCAACACTTCACAAATTTCATTTACATCCCGAGCAGCATACACACATATGACAAAACTAATACTTCTTGCTTTGTCAATTCCTCACCCTACGGAAACATCTCCTTATTACTAACTGCTCCACCGGTCCGTACCGTAATACACACACTCAGTCCAGCACCTGTCCAGCACTAACCACATCGCTCACATGCACAGAGTATCACGTGTGGCTCACGCGACATTCCAAACACAGCCCCACACAGGTCATCGAGCGTTTGCCCAATCATGACGAAGGTTCAGAGAATCTTTGTCGCGATTGGCCGCAGGTTCTTACTCAAGGTCCACGACGGTGTGCTTATTGGCTACAACTATCCGAAGATGCTACACATCGTTCTCACTGTTGACTATGTTCGGAACAATCGTTCTGAAATACTCTCAATGAATCGGTCAGTTGAAAAGTATGTCCAGGTCCAAGAATATTTACAACACGGAGTAAAAATAATTCTTACACCGTGTTTTGCGACGTTAATAACTCGACACCAGCTTTGTGGTCTCTCTGCCACCTTCGGTTTAGTTACTGACAAATATATTGCTTTATTGTAAATCACGCTAATAAAGGAATTAAAACAGGGCAAGTAACATCTTCACAATTAAAATATTAAGCGAAGGCAAATACTAGTAAGGATCGTACATAAAATACGTGACGCTAAAGAAAGGGGGTGAATTCAATTATAGCAGAAGGTGGTGATTTAAGACCGTTACGCAGAGGCAGGGTTCCACCACTGTAGCGGCCGACAGCGAAATGTATTCCTAAAAGAACCACGGGAAATCAGCCATTTGGATGACAAGGAAGCGCGGGAATTCAAATAATGCCTTTCACTTTCGAAGAAAATTTGAAATGTATGCTTACAATTTGCGCGTCTCATTTATTTAGTCTAAGAAAGTTTTTGTCAAAAATACTAAACGGAAGTTTAAAGGAATCCGGTTTTTAAGTAATAAAATGTTAGTATAAATTTCAAAAATTCCAAAATTTCCTTTCTCCATCCTATTCAGACAATTAACATTTGTAACCACTGTTTCCAGTGTCATCTTTCTTTGCCTTAAGTGTTTGGTTAAACCTATTCACTTCTAAAGGGTCATCCACAAGTACTCAAGCTAAAAAGAGGGAAGGGATTTGAGGCTGCTTAACATTGTGTTACATAGGGGCTAAGGGTTTTCGATTAGCGTTACTTAACATTGATTTCTTCTACATTCTTTTAACGTTTGTTGAAATACTTCTTTTTTGAGTCATATTAAAACATTAAAATATTATTTAATTAATTTGTTTTAAAACATAAATAATTTAAATTTATTAGAAGTTGTTGAAATAAATGAAAATTATACTGTTGATGTTATTAATAAATAACTTCAACAATACAATTTCAGCAACAAATAAGGAATATAATAAAATAATTGTATAGTTTGTAACATAAGTGTTAGAACTATACAGTTCGCAATAATCTTAATAAATAACGTGAGCAATTCAATTTCTACAACAAATAATGAATGTAGTACAATAATGGTAAAATTTGTAACAGGAGTTTTAGAATCATACAGTCGGCAATAATGAACCACGGCACTGCTGTTCCCGTTTGCAGGAGCAACAAAATCACATAAATGTATAACACATATCGCTCAACATACCTGAAATTGTGATAAAAGTTTGTTATTGTTATCTTTGCCTTATTTTTTAGCAAAATCAAGTTTGAATATGTTTGTTTGTCCTATGTAAATAATTCGTATCAACCAACTGCACTATATTTATCTTGTATGATTATTGTATATTTTTATAGCTCTGAAGTAGGCCAAATAGGCATGTTCGTTTCCGAGTTTTAGAAAACTTATTTTCATCGGTAAACGAATTGTAAGTATGATTTTTCTGATTGTCTCAAAATAGCAACTCGCCCTTACCTCTACTCCTATCATTACAAGCAAAAGGAGAGTTCAACAAAACGTGCATAATGAAGCTACATTTACGTCCAGAATCAAAACAAGGGACCATCTTAGCATTTGCTCAAGAATCAGGGAATCTGGACGAAAAACTGTTCGAGATGGGGGTCATTGACCTGAAGTGCAATACTTGTTACAGGTTCTTTAGAATTATACAATCCAAATAGTAAATGATACATTAAATGACATTGTTAAAATTAACATTACTTCTCTTTTGAATGTTCGGTATAGTTTCTAATTGTATAGAAACAGTTGTGCAGCAAAAAATATTTTACTTGAGACTTAATATTTTGTATCGAATTTAATCGTTTAAAATCATCTGACAAGGTGTTGTAAAATAATATACATGTTTTGTATGTGAATTTTTTGTAGCGAGCTGTTGATACTGTCACCTGATGAACTGATTACGTGCCTTCGGCCCTCGCGTTAAAAAAAAGCATCCTTGAGTCTGTCTAACGCATAATTACTAACGCATTTTATGCCAATACTCACCTGAAAAATAATTTGGGATGCTTTTTTATTCGTTGCAAGAAAGGTTCCATTTTGCTTCTTCCTGTTAGGCTCACTCGCTTTCTTGTTCACTTATATTCACATAAATACGCGCCCGTGAACGTGAACGAATCAGACATCTAACTGATTATTTGACCATGACTTGGCATTGAGCCTCCTCCGGCGCTGCGCCGGGCGGAGAACAGGAAAACAGCGGCACAGCAGGCCTGGCCTGGCCTGGCCTTGGCTGGCCTGGCGGGTTCGCTCTGCGTCTTCTGCAAGAACGTTTGTTTATGACTTAGCGAGGGCGCGTGAGGGGCGGAACTGAGAAAGAAAAGCCTTTTTCTCTCAAAGAAGCTGCTTACCAAGATTATTAATCAGAAAAATTAGGTCGTTGCGATTGACACGTCGCTATATAGTGGATGTAAACAAAGGTAAAAAGGAAGCTGGTGTGTAATATTATGATTATAATAGCGTGAAAGTGGGGCTGATGAAAATACTGATTTGCAGGTAGAAGTAAAGCAAACGTGAGGGATGGTGGAGGTAAAATTTAAGGGTAAAGAGAATGGGAATGCAAAGCGAAGGGTTAGATGAATTTGCCGGTTTAAGTAAATCAAACGTAAAGAGAAGTGGAATTGAAAATGAGGGAGAAGCGAAGGGAGGTGGGAGTGGAAGAGAGGGTGGATCAATCAGGGTGTGGAAAATGTGAATGTGGCGGCTCCTGCATTTAAAACAGAAAGTTCGCCATCCTAACAGACGATATCTTGAAGTAATGTATCCATTCGTCTATGATACTAACATACGTGATAACAAAATATCATTTGCAAAAATGTTGTAATTTAAATTATATAGTATAGTTAATAATTGCTATATTATTATTAGTAGTATATTCTCCTTTATACTTATACAATGAAACACATTATTTTATGCACTTCCGTTTATATCCTTCCGAATCATTCCGTACATCGATACATATCTTTCTGTACATTGAAACGCTGTCTCTCCCATCAACCTCTCCAACAATTCAAAGGCTCATTTGCATCTGCCTCTGAAGCATTCTAATGCCAACAACAAAAATAAATATTAGAACATGTATATAATATGTATAAGAAATGCAATATAAAAGCAATAATTGGAATATTATTTTTACAGGATAAACTCAACTGATATTTTGCTCAATTTTACATCAAGAAAGGGTGTACTTAGTTGCTAAATTCTTCTTTCCTAGAGCCGACTTTATCCAGGCGACTGCTGGTTACTCTTCACGTCCCGATGGGTCGTATATTAGACCAGACAGAAGATACCAACACTTTGCGGGCTCGTCTGATCTGGGGTCAGCAGAACGCGCGGCCCTCCGCCATGACACGTACATGAGAGACAAAAGACAAACAACCATGCCCAAGACGGGACTCGAACCCGCGACCCTTCGGATCGAAGTGCTTCGGCGAAGTACACTCTTTAGCCACCTTGGCGATCCAGGTCGGCTCCTTCATTCTTAAAAACTTTTTCTTCGCACAAAATGTATATGTAATAGGAACTAGCACTATTAATCTTATTTCAAGCTACTTGTCAAGAAATGCCATGGGTGCGCGGAAGACACACGATATAATACGATTTGTAAATTTGATACGATGTTGTAAACACTGTTATTGTTATCAAAAACTTTTCGAAGATAAAATAAAAGGTTTAAACAATTAGCTTGTCTGTTCAAGCGCATGTTTCTATTTAATCGTAGAACGTTAACACGTAACAATAATTCTACCACTCTACCACACTTAAACCTTGGCCTATGGAGAAGCCTGCCCGCCAGCTCGCTGCCCCGCAGAGGACCAAATATTTATCACAGCTCACGGATACAAATAAAACGTTAAAGTGACATACGAGGCACTTTCAAATCTACAGGAAATGTTGACAGAGGAATAAACTCGTATTTCTTCTCTCTCTCCCTCTCTTTGTATATATATATATATATATATATATTATATAATATCTTACTTTGGTACGAGTTTTCCCTGGGCTCTGGGCTCTTACACCCCCCCCCCGCACCGCACCTCCGCTGATCGGGAGAGGTAGCTCAGGGCATCAACTGATGTCACTACACCGCCTCTGGTCTGGAGGTTCTACCGTTCCAGTTCCGCGGGCGGCAGGTTTTTCTTTACTAACTTGATAGCTAAGTCGAACTAAATCAGTCTGGACGAGAATTATAGCGGCCAACTGCTCTGATCGGTGGTTTTCCGTGTGTTCTGCGATCAACACCAGGCGGAATGCCCGAGCTATACAATAACAAATGGGGCACGGACCGCGCGCGATCTTACCTTTCTCTTCTTTGTTTTCCCCTCACCGCTTACACACACTTGCACTAAACTACCACACACGCCAGAAAATTAGAGATAAAGACAAAAACCTGATATTGGTTTGGTACGAGTTTTCCTTGGGCTTGGAATTCCCTTTGTCTTCACAGAGAAGCAATTGTGTTTCCCCCTCCTGCATCCCACCACCTCACTCGTTCTTCCCCCACCCCGCTTAGAACTTGCTCTGCTGGTGGGAGATACTTAAACGGGAGAAACACCGCAAGCCATCGTCATCCTGCGGGAGATCACCTCCACCTCCTGAGGGAAAAGTAAAGACTACACTAAAGCCCATTCACAACGCAAACGTAATCATAAATATGACGTTAACATAAAAGTTAGGACTACGTCCATAAGCGGACTCATTCACAATGCGTTCGCATAAGCATAACACGTAAGACGTTCACTTAAAAGCTTGCAAGCTTCTGTGCTTATACGTAAGACATACGAAATAAACCAGTCATAGAACGGTAACTCAGAATTGAGAATCGAAAGAGGAGCGAATTCTATAGACTTAGCGAGGCAGAAGCAGATAGACTAACTAACGCCATCCAGGCTATGAATACAGTCGATACCTCAAAATCGATTCTAACATCCAACCAATAGTAAACTAGAATGCCTCACAACCAATAGAAACTCTTATTTTGCTTAAGTTTATATTAGACATTGTGAATACTTCAGTCTATCACTTATGTTAGTTTAGGTCTATGCGTTATGCTTATGTTTACGTTTGCATTGTAATGACGAATGACTTAAGCCGTTGACGCGCTCGGTCGCTCCAGTCCAAAGTAGCTGCGTGCTGTCAACTGAACAATTGATCACTTGTTCCGCTTAAAAGCCCAGTAAGGAGCAACACAAAAAATGTATTAAAATTCTTTGGTGATTCTTTTTTGTGCCCTTACGAACGGAGCGCCACTGAATCACGAGCCGTCACTATGTCTGGAGTTTCATTTCTTGGCGCATGAGGGCCTGTCTTCACAATAAAATATCACGGCCTTTCGCATCTTTCATATCGCATGATCGACAGCACTGGTCGATATGGTCACGATCATGCTACAACTGGCACGCCTGCGAAAGACCGAAATGCCCTGAAATATTTCCATCGTGAAGACAGGCCCTCCCAAGAAATAAATTCCCAAGTTTATGGCGAAGATAAAAGTGAAGGCGGAGGTGAAGTGATCGTGAAGGTGGAGGAGAAGTAAAATGGGAAAGAAGTTAAATATGATGGAAATGTGAAGGAGATGGGAAAGGAAGGTGAAGGAAAACAGGGAGAAAGCCAAGGGAAGGTGAAGGTGAACGGAATGTGAAGAGGAGAGTACAACGAAGTTATGGTGAATGAAGACGAGAGGTTGAAAGGGAATAATGAGAAAAAAGGAGAAAGATAAAGGCGGAAAAAGGAATTCAACATTAACTGAATCAGGCGGTTTGGGATGAAGGAGGGGGAAAATGAAAGTGGTGCATTTCATCCATAATAAAAATTATGCATTTAAATAAGTATTTGCTGTTTATTTGAAAGAGGGAAATATAAAAGTCTCTGCACATAGAATTAATAGATTACAATAACTTTCTTAATGGTAGATCAAATATATGCATGTAAATGCATAAAAATGTATGCTTCTTTTAACATTCAAACGTTGCTGACTTAGCAACACACAACATTATTATTGTATTCACAACCAGCATGATGACAATTAGGATCAAGAAGTTGGATCACATTTGGGTTACAATTAAACAGCAAAACAACATTTTCTTTTACTCTCATGAGTATTGTTCTTAGTTTCATCTCATATTTTAACACTAAGATAATTTAACAATAAGCTCTCTCCCTGGTCCTATATGCACCCTAAACAGCAGCTCAAAACTTATGGGCAAACTTTCAATTTCTAACCTCAACACATTCTTTAAATACTAATCCATGTATAAATATGAGTGTATTCAAAAGACCATTTTTGTGTACTAAAGATTTTGGCATGTCTTTATCTTAGAACTTATCTTCAGGGTTCCCAAATTTGGTCTCGTAAAACAACCTAAAATATACCATTTCTCAATAATAACATTATATGTTATTTCCAGCAATAACTCAAGTACATTTTCTCTTAGTTTTTAAGAACTCTTAATGCACTAGGATGTTGAAATTCATTATAACACATTTTATTAATGCAATTTTATTTATTAAAATGTTTCAATACCTATTAAATTTTTCGGACATTCCAATTTACATTTAATGGTATGGGTTTCAGAAAACTGTCTAGGAGAGGATTTTTTTTAATATCACAATATAAATTAAAAAATATAGACCTTATACAAAAGTAAAAATTAGCAATGTGTTTTTTATAACAAAATACCAGTGTATTTTTCTGTACAAGTGATTTTTTCTAGGCAAATGCATTCAGCAACCAGCCCAGCTTTTGTACTGACAAGACCAGAGGTGCGTGCATGGGGAGGGAGTTGGCGGCCGAGCCCCATAAACACATTATAAAACATTTTATTTTCGTAAATTTGTTGAATCCTTGATTCCTCCTTTTTAATGGACAGAAATGTTTAAGCTGTGTATGTCTGTGGAAAATGCAGAATGACAAGGAGGTTTAAGAGAAAATGAGAGAATGCTGGATATTTTGTCAAATACAAACCCATTCCAAATTTATTTAATAACAGTGCATTACTCAAAAATGGTTATTTGAAAACACCTTGACAATCATACTTGCAGACCTGTTCACAATTTCTGTTGAAATTCATACACTATGTGCAGGCATACACGCCTTTCTCTATATACTTTAAAGAAGAAATTAAGACAATGATTGAACTACAAGGTTTGGGAAATTCTCTGATACTGAGTCACAAAGTTTCTGACTAAAATTATTTTCAAATTTAATGATCAAAAATAAATGCATAAAATGTAGATAGAGAAATTCATCAATTAAGAAAATTGTTGTTCTACATTTTGATGGTTACTCACTCACACAATGTAATATATTATATTACTATATATATATGTACATACATATTCAGTTATTTAATAGGAATATAGATTTTTAACAATCATTTATACTCTTCATCGTATCATTAATGATTAAATAGAGCTGTGTAATAAAGCAATTTCTTCACAAAAAGATTATTTCATCACCATTTACATAAAAATAAATAATGTCCTCTTCAGCAGTATAGTATTATATTTTATATTTTCATTATCAGCAAATTAATGTTCTTTTACTTCAAATCTTCCATTAATCATTGTTTTTTTCAATAAATGTACTATTTAATATGGTTCAATATGCAGCATATTTATTTTTATTCATTATAAATTAAAGAAAGTGTGATTGTAAAGGAAAATTTCATTAAACTGGTTACAAGTGGTGCTTCATGCTTTCAACTTAGAATGACTAGAAATTTGTGATTTTAGTTTTCATTTATATTCTGTTCATTTAAATTTTATATTCTCGCAAATAATTGATCACTTATTTATTAATATTACTAATATATTACAATGTCACTAATGGTCATAGATTTTGATGCAACTTTAAATAAATTTAAAAATAAAATAGGTCTAAAACAGTAAATAATAACAAATAATTGTTTTAAAACAGAATTCATTTACAATTAGTAATAGTTCATGTGTTTTAAAAATAATAATATCCAAGTACTAATATTATATGCTGAAGATGACAGTATAAATGATGATGCCAACAACAAGCAGCTAAATAAGCTCATGCACAATTAGTGATGGTCTACAAACCATAAGACATTCATCAACATCATACTGAAGTACCATTTTACATTTCCTCAAGTTGCCAAGTTTCGACGCAGCTGTTAACATGCAGTATAGATCCATGCAAATTCTCTTCCTCCAATATTTCTCAAGGAAGTCATGGCTCTGGCCTCTGTCCAAATAGATCAATAATTTTTGGTACTTTTACAAAAAACACATTTTAAATGGAGAATAATCACAATCAAATGAAAAGATAATCCAAAAATATTATTGCAAAGTTTTTCATGAGTTTATTCATCATCTGACAGTGAAATAATATCTTTTAAAGGACATGTGCACTTTTGGTGTAGATGTACTGTTTGGTGTACATGTTTCTCAGAAACTATATTTAAATCATGTATATTTCCTGTTTTATGTACACTTCATATAAAAGTAATGAAAATTAGACTTATGTAATGCTTGATTTTTTACCTTACTTTATTGCAGAGGCAATAAATCTATAACACAGACAATCACACATTACCAATAGATTTTATTAGAAAGTAATCATTAAAAATGCATGACCGTTCTCATATGAGAAGCAAGCGATTGTGCTCATCAGTAAGAAATTTATATCAAAATACAATTTCGTCCAAGTTGCTATAGGTACTGTGATACATCAGAAAATCAAACCTTAAAATATATATTCATGACAAGTTGGAAGATGATTTTGAAGATTCATTTTAGCACATAACTGCCTCATGTTGTGAAGCTATTAATTCAAAAACTATAATAGTATTTACAATAGAGGCCATAAAAGAGAGGATTCTATACCTATTGTTTGGTTTCTCATGTTTGTGAATTTTTTTCATTTCATACCATCAGTTTTAATCATTATCTTCATTTCTAACAAGCCTATCATTTTCATTACTTCAATTATTATTAGTATTCTGGTTATTAGAAAGAAGCAGTTGTTGTAGCAATAGAAGTAGCTAGAGCAAAATTACTCAAATTATCTGGAAATAATATAATAAAGAATCTAAGCTTGTAACTGTCAAAGCAGTGTAAAAGTTACAATTTTTCTTTATACAAAGTAATTATTTTTTCATAGTAACACACTCAATATACAAATAAAGGATTGTACTACATTCTTTAAAATATTACATAATTTTATGGTTACTTATAGGTTTTACAATATTTGAATAAAATACAAAGGTGGATCAAATGTAAACCAAGCTTCATCTCTTGTGACAGTGAAGCAAGCGAGAAGAGTTGAAGGCTGTTACAGGGGTGTTAATGCAGAAGCAGATAAGGCATGTGCTGATGATGGACAGGGGGTCTCGGTCAGTTTAACAAAATTTTATATTAGTTGTAAACCCAAAAAATATTTGTAGTAAAGTTTAAATAGTTATAAATTAAGGCAAAATACTTTTTCAAAAAGATATTCAAAAGTATTGTAAATTAAATTTATTATTCATATACTAATTCAGATTTTAAAACTTAGTGAAGGCAATTTTTATTGCTGCACAAAAATTTAGATAAAAATTATTTAAAAATTCAAAAGTAAAATATTGTATTCATTCTTTTGATATTACATATGAAACTAAATTTTACACATTTATTTTCATATAAATTATAATTAGTATGTTCAATATTTTAATATTTCAAT